GGCTCTGATACTTATTACTCATCTGGACCCGACACCACCCAAACCGACCTGACCCGATCCGATCCGATCCGATCCGACTTTATAAAATCAGGTTCATTGAAATAACTGACCAGTAGTTTCAGTGACAGTTACTTGTATGGAAATTTAACGGAGTAAATTTTGTCAAGGAAAATGTGACCGTCGGATGGTATTGGCAATCAAATAGTATGAGTATTGTAACCTAGGCTTTCTCATGGTCAACCCTTCTTCCTTCTTACCGTGCTATTGAGACGCCTGCCGCGCTGACCCGACCCGATCCGATCCGATCCGACTTTGTAAAAAAAAAATCAGGTTCATTGAAATAACTGACCAAAGTGGTGGTCAACCTAGGTAGGCTTTCTCATGGTCAACCCTTCCTCCTTCTTACCGTGCTATTGAGACGCCTGCTCCGCTCTCCGTGGCTGTGTCCGTGGCCGTGTCTCAGGCTATGCTTGTGTCGCGCCGTCGTCTTCTTCAGCGCCGACCGGCCTAACACCACTCGCAGGCACCTCTTGACCGCGGACCGCACGCGGCTCCTCACCGCCGGCGGCAGCGCCTTCTTCACGCCGGCCCAGAGGTAGCGGTGCGGGGAGTAGGTCCACATCTTGCCCCAGAGGTCGCCGGCCGAGAAGTTGAGCAGCTGCAGAGTCGCGCGGCGCGTGGTGCGCATGCCGCCCACGATGACGGCGACCATGAGCACGGAGAAGAGCATGGCCTGGTTCAGTTGGATGTCCTCGTAGGCGAACGCCGACAGCGTTGTGGTGGTGGTGGTGGTTGTGGGGGTGGGGGCGGGTGGCGGTGGTGAAACCGTCATCTTGGGGAATAAATGTCGATTCCCTCTCACGTCCTGTTTCAATAGAACTGTTTCAATAGTACTGTTTCAATAGATCTCTACGAGTCCGTGTGCAACAAACGCTCTTGTTGCTAGTAACTGTTCTTTCTGTCCCGGGAATGTAAAATAAACTAAAAGTCCAATTGGAAGAAAAAAAGGGGGGAGCCCTCGTAGATTTTTTTGAGCGAGGCTCGGGTGACAATATCAAGTCCTTTGTGTCTCCGAGTCTTGAGGTACAGCAAACGAATCCTTTGCGAGTCTTTCGGCAGAAGAATACAGCGTATTCGTTCGTCGTATTCCTCTCTCGTTCGTTATCCTTTGTCAGTAGTCAACAGAGACAAAAGTACTGTTACAGACACACAATCGAGACGGTTGTCCAGACGGCTCGTATATACGTTCCTTCACTTTGTTGTATGTAACAAAGTATATATTGCAACAGTACAATGTGCACTAGAGTCAGTCCTGAAATGTCGCACAAAGTTTATATGTAGATATAAAATTTTATACACAGGTTTTTATCGTGTGTCAATTTGGGAAGCGTGATGGTTATCAACGGTGGTATTGAAAATGTTTTTCTCTGTGAGCTGAAAACAAAAGACGAAGGAATTGTAATGATAATGGCGTTCCCTTTTTCCTCCCCCC